TGTCGACATACGTTGGCCGACTTTATTTTTCACTAGGAAAGAAGCTGTCGAACTTTTTTTATTTTTTTATTTCATAAATTTGTTGTTTCTTTGTTAAACAGTGTTCGGTTGGGTTGGGTGGTTTGTTTTAGTTTTATCATAACATAAAATCTACTAGAAGTTGTCGAACTTTTTTTATTTCATTTATTTTATCGTAACATAAATTTGCCCATTTTAGTTGGGTTTTTTGCTCAATGGGGCGGAGGGGGGCCAATGGGGCGGGGTCGGTTGGGTTGTGTTGTTGAGTTTGGGTTGGTTTGGTTTTATGGTTTTAATAGTTTTGTTTGACAGATGACGCGGAGAAACGTGGCAACAGTGGGTGTTCCCTGGGTTAATTAACTTCTTATATACCTCTATATACTTTGCTAATAGTGAATTCACTGGTTTCTGTCGCATTGGTTTCTGCAAAGGTTTCTTATTCCATCTATTTTTTTCCTATTCCTTCTATATCATCGCCAAATTTTCTTGGTCAATTTCGTCGTTTTCAATCGGAATGAGAAGGTTTAGTAAACTATTCTCAGCTGCTTAAGCATTTTTTTAAAGTACTTTATCATTGGTTTCAGCTTCATCATTGTCGGAGAGGTCCGACAAATCGAAAAAATTACCATTTTCAAGCTTTTTAAAAAGGTCGACAAGTGATCTTTCAATTCTCAGGTCTCCTCCCCGAGTTACAAATTTTTGCGAGCCTGAAAAATTTCGTATTTTTTAATAACTATGAATCTTCTCTATCATAGTATATTATAGAGAAGCAACGCATGTAGGTTGATTCTTTAGTTACGATGCAATGGTAGACATTTTTATTCTAATTTTAATTTGAGCATATACACGCTGTATACAGCCCAGTAAGCACAAGTTTGCGAAAATTGGTTGCGTATAAGATTCGGCATAAAGACCGGGCCTGGCCAACTGTCGGGTAAATTCCACCTGGCTGAGTGTCGGCTATGTATAGTTGGCCGAGTGTCGGCTATGTATTTAGTTTCCCGAGTGTCGGCTATATGTAGTTGGCCGATTGCCGGCCATGACTGCCTCTTCATCCAAAAAAGTCGTCTTTCCTCATGAGGATGTCCTCTGAACATCTCCCGGGTTATTCTTTGGTATATGTAGGTCCTGAGAAATTCCTTTGAATGGCACGATACTGCGCAGATCAGTCCCACTCTAAACGTATAGAATGATCCAAAATTTCAAAAATTCTAAATGGGGAAGGATATTCTAAAATGTAAATAAAAATTGCAAAATGTCAAGCTTACTAAATATGCATAGGTAGCATTTTTAATTTAATTAAAAAATATATAAAAACTTTTTATCATTTGCCTGTATATATATATATATATAAACCTACCTTCATTGAATGTGCTATAGTTAACAATACTTAATTTAAATTAACTAACGTCCCCATATACAGATATTTGAACGTCCCAAGTTCTCTGTATACCTACCTTCTTTGAATGTACTAGGTATACATTTATTTTCACATGGCAGGCATGGCACGGTATTGAATTCATTTCATTGCAAAAATCATTTTTATCTATTTTGCGTTCATAATGACTTCATTGTAACACCGCTTTCGGTGCTGTAATGAGTTACTTTACCCCATCCAAAATTTTGATTTTATAGGTTGGCTACAGCATACTAGTAAAATAATATTTTGCATATTGGTTATAATATTTTTATGATTTTTCTAGTACTTACGAGACTTTTCTGGCAATAAATTTTGTTTAATATCAAAAAAATCCTTTTTTTCTTCTTTAACATTAACAGCCGCTTATTGTAAATAAGTAAATTAAAGACGCCATGGCGAATCGATTTTGACATTAACTCTTCAAACCAATGACTGTGATATCAACTATCTAAAGTAAAATTCGACCAAATTAAATATAAGGTATAAAATTAATAGTTTTATAGAATTTTTGCAAAATAGATAAAATAGCATAAAAAACTCATGTCACCACCTTTTGTCGCACTCCTCTATTACAGAACTCGCTCCTTCGTTGCTCGTTTTATAAATTGTCTCCGTGCGATAAAATGACGTCTTATGACATTAGTTCTTTAATATACTATTGTTAAATTCAAAAGATTTAAGCAATATAGAAATACATTAAATAAACTAATTTTAAAAACAAAACATGACTATTATAAAAATAAAATAGAGAATGCAAGCAATAATAAAAATAAATGGAAGGTGATTGACCAAATTTCTAATAAAGAACAACGACAAGTGGGCGAAAAATTTGAAATAGTTGACAATAAAGGGGAAAAAATAATTGAAGAAAAAAATAAGGCAAACTTTTTTAATAATTTTTTTAGTAATATTGGAGACACAATGATACAAAATAATCAACATGCTAAAAACCCCAAAAATTGAATTTACCACTTGAACACTCACTGTTCTTCAATCCTTCAACGCCAGCGGAAATAATTACTTACATCTCAAAACTTAATTTAAACTCAGCCTGATGGAATTTCTACCAAAGTATTAAAATCTATTAATGAGCATATAGCAAAACCATTATGTCAAATAATAAATATCATATTTCTTACAGGCATTATCCCAGTTGAAATGAAAAAGTCCTTTATTATTCCAATTTTTAAGGGAGGGTCCAAATCTCTTGTCACAAATTATAGGCCGATTTCTTTGATCAATAATCTTGGTAAGATACTAGAAAAAAGCATTAAAAGTCGCCTTATGAAATACTTAGATAAAATTAAATTTTTAAATAAACGACAATTTGGTTTCAGACCAAATATAAGCACTGAAAATGCGGTAGTTGAATTTATCAGGGTTGTTGTTAATGAAATGGAATCAAATAAAAAATGTTTGGGAATTTTTCTAGATTTGGCCAAGGCGTTTGACACCGTAGATCATATTATCTTATTACAAAGACTGGAAAGCATTGGTATACGGGGTTTACCACTTTCCCTATTTAAAAATTATTTATCGCAGCGTCATCAAAGAGTTAAAATTATAAACAAAATAAGTGACCCATTATTGGTTTCTAGAGGAGTTCCTCAAGGAACGATACTAGGGCCAATTTTATTTTTAATATACATCAACTCCATTTATGAAATAGTTAATTTTGAAGGGGAAATCTTCTCGTACGCTGATGACACTGCGATCATATTTACCGCTGACTCATGTGAACAAGTATACCATGTTGCTGAAAATAACATAAAATATGTTAAAGAGTGGCTTGACAAAAGTCTCCTTAGCCTTAACACAGACAAAACAAAATTTATTTCTTTCTCCATTACAGAAGCTGGTCAACCTGTAGGCAATTTAATTGAAAATATAAAAATTCATAACACAAACTGCCATGATAACTGTAATTGTCCACATATTAAGCGTACACATTTTATTAAGTATTTAGTCTCCTTAGCCTTAACACAGACAAAACAAAATTTATTTCTTTCTCCATTACAGAAGCTGGTCAACCTATAGGCAATTTAATTGAAAATATAAAAATTCATAACACAAACTGCCATGATAACTGTAATTGTCCACATACTAAGCGTACACATTTTATTAAGTATTTAGGAATAACTGTGGATCGGCATCTGAAATGGAACCATCACGTAAAATTTAATTTAAACTTGAGACTAAGAAAACTTATTTACAATTTTTATCAATTTAGAGATATTCTAGATAAAAAACTTTTAACTACGGTGTACATCGCTTTGGCTGAATCAATTCTGAGATACTGCATTTTTATCTGGGGTAATGTTCTGGAAAATGCTTTAAAATGTTTACAAATAACTCAAAATACACTATTAAAAATAATGTTTAAGAAAACTCGCAGGTATCCCACAACCCAATTATTTCAAGAGGCAAACTTATTATCAATTAGGCAGATTTACGTTTACCAACTCATATTGTGGGTACACAATAATAAGGAAAAGTTTGAAACACCTAACCACCCTTATCAAACACAAAATAAAGATTCACTAATACTTCCGTTTTGTAGAAAAGCAAACACCCAGAGATTTTTATTTTATTATGGACCAAAATATTTTAACTCTATTCCAAATGATATTAAGCAAATAAAAGGTAAAACTGAATTTAAAAAACGGCTTAAAATTTATTTATTAAATAATTTTAATGAAATTATCTTAAATTAACCCGAAAAACCTCCCCACCCGATATAATTGTAGTTTCAAGACACTTCCCCCCTCATTCAGATTTGTGTATTTTTTATGTGTGAAATTCTCAATCAAAAACATATATCTATATAAATATTGTATTAGTTAATTAGGACTCCGCACACAAGCGAAAGCTTAGGCGGGTCACCATCTTTTGTAAAAAAATTAAAATGTATATTGATCTAAATAAATTGAATTGAATTGAATTGAAAGAAGGTTAACAATATTAAATTTAAAATGAATGTGTGAATTTAAATAAAACAGTATTAAACGAAAAGACAACATTTATTTAATAACTATTATATACAATAATTTAACATTAAAGAAATAAACATATGCTGAAAGTAAGTATAAATATTTTTAATAGTTTTTAAGCGTAAAAAATATTTGACAAAGGCGTTTTAAACGCCTTTGACTCCAATAATAAAAAAACAAGATATGTAGTTTAATGAAATTATGATATTTACATCTTACTTCACAAAAATTTTGCATATTATGTATAAAGTTTATAATCACAAAAGGTTTATATACAGCCTCAATTAAATTGAGAATAATATTGAGAATAATACAGTCCATAAAATTAAAGAGTTAAATTTACCAAAAACTTAACTTTTCAATATGCAAATCGTATACAATAGAAGTGTAAAATATATACTGGGCATTTCACCCTAGTATTGTTTGTTTTTAAAGTGATTGTATTTTTATTGTATTTGGCAAAAAGACTAGCAAACTAAGGGAAATATTTTCAAAATATTTTAGAAAATTCAAAAATATAATTTTATGACACCCTTTTACATTCTTTTTCTCTTTCTGCTGGTGGGCAAACGTCAGTGGATCGGAGCGGGCGGGTCGAAGATCTCGCTGTCGGGACTGCCGTAGCCGCTGGACCCGTCGTCGCGTTGAGCAGTGCCGTCCCTGGGGGCAGCGGCAGCCCCTTTTCCAACTGGCGCTGAGGCGGCGGCGCTAGTGAGCGGTTGCGAGTACCCGTACATTGTTGCCGTACTCGTCGCGCTGTAACATGATTGGTCCGTTAGACCGCCTCCTGACGGCTGGAAAGAAAATCCAACCACGGTCAGTGTTTTCAAATCAAACGAAAAAATTCCCAGAGTTGGGAATGTTTGCTTAAATGAAAACATTGATCAATGTTTAACTATATTAATTTAACTATACATTTATTAAACATATTTAATTGGATATGTTATAAAATAAGTAGAAGTTTTTATTATGAAAATAAAGTTATTTTTTTTAATCTGTGTTATTTTTTTAATTTTTATTGTATTTTGAGACTAATTTTATATTAAAGAGTATGTAAAAATGTAATGGTTCGATTCGCGTAGCATTTTGAAACTTAATGAGTATGACAAACTATTTTATTTTTATTGTAGATATTTATTCGCACTTGCCAGAAAATGAGATTGAGTAGACTGCACTTTTACCTTCATAATAAAAAAAAAACCGATTCTGGCATCTTTGCTCACAAATAATTTTTTGATTAAAAATATATAGTAAGTATTAGCTTAGCTTTTCTTTTAACCTATAGGTTAGATACTCAGATGGCGTAACGACTTTGTAGGTTAATACCTTCCCTGATAGCACACTTTATTCTAAGAATGTTTTTTAAACCTTTCAGTGAGAATATTCTTAGGATCATGCTATATTTCTTCTAAAGAACATGCTTAAAAGACATATAGCATGATATAAGAATATTCTTACTTGCCTATAGGCAGGTTCTTAGAAGGTGCAAAGTTTTAGTGGTAAAAATTAGTCTACTCTAAACATATGCTTAGAATGTTAAAAAAGTAATTTCTATAGAAAGTTAATTTAGGAATATTCCTGTTAAGCATATTTAATTCAGTTACCTATATAATATACCTTAAACTGCGTATAAAGGTATATACCTATACTTAAGTACCTAATTAGTAATTAGTAATTTAATTTAGTATTAAATACTACTAGTACTAGGTAAAAAACACAATCCAAAATATTTTTTTATAGTTATTTGTTAAATTAAAACAATATTTGATAACAAAAATACTTTTACTATAGGTATTTTATTTTATGTTAAAAATATATATTTATTAATTTGTATACCGATTTTTTATTTCTGAATTAACATTTTTATGTATAATAATCCTAACTATCTTTAACTTCAATCTAATTTGACTTATCCCACAAAATTTTTCAATTTTACTTTTTATGAATTATTTTTATGAATTATTTAATAATGTCATACAACTTATGGTTTAGAGCTCTAGGTCAATTTTTTTATTTAATATTTTTAAATAAATATATATTAATATGTCGCAAATTTTTTCAAGGGGACGACAAAAACATTTCACTGTCATATTATGACAGTGACGCGTATTTGTCGTCTCCTGAAGAATTTAACGAATGTAGAATACAACATACATACATCGTATTAGAACGTATCTGACATATTTTTCTTAAAAGCTTCCTAGAAGCTCCATAAGAAACCTTCTAAGAACATTCCAAAAACGAATTCTTAAAATGTTCTTAGGATGCTTTTTGGGAAGGTTTTAAGAAGCTTTTAAGAATCTAATTGCATCATTAAAAGTTCTTAGCATTCTTAGCAATAAGGGAAAGTTCTAAGAATATTCCATTATTCCGGATCATATCTTCTTAGAAGATTCTTAAAATCAAATTTTGCTATCAGGGTTGTAATATAATATTGTAAAAAAACTGTGACGGAGCAATTGTGAGGTCAAGTCGGATTCAACACGTCAAAAACCTGTGTTAATTATTGGACAATCAAGTTTAGAGGTTTTTAATGACAGCTAAAACAAGGGTAAAACTAAATAGGTACCTACCAAAGAAACTTATCCTGCTTTTTAAAAATACTGCTTAACTTACTTAATAAAATGTATTTTAATATCACGTATTCTTAACTGGCATTGGCATTTTTGCTTATACCTAATTGAATTAGGCTAATTCCTTTTTCAGTTTGATTAATAACACTTTTACTAACCTCTTTTCAGTTGATTAATTAATGTACGAAATATAAATTAACAAAAGCAAAATTTCAAAAGCAGATGTATTTGGATTTGTAATAAAGGATGGTCCAACAAAAACTTAAAAGAGGAGTTTTTGGGTAGTAAACAGTAATTAAAAAAAAAACGTAAATACACGTCAATTTTAGTTTCGAGGGGAACATCTTTTGCTATAGGTTTTACTTGCAAATTTTAATATGCATGAAAGGGCAAGTGCATTGAAAAGGTCTCGCCTAACTGGGTATCATAAAAAAATAGTCAAATTCCATTTACTTATTTTCGCGATATTTAAAATTAAAGTTATAGACCCACATAAAAGTCCAGGGAAGTCAAATCTGGAGATTTATCCGGCCAAATCAGAGCTTATCTTTGTCCAATCCATTATCCCAAAAACACTCGGTACAAAAACACTCAGTGCATAGGGTAAAGGTGATCCATCTATATTGGAACATTAAATGGTCTTTCATGTATATGTGCTATAGAATTATATTCTATATAATTCTGTTAAAGAAGCTTATACAGGGTGCGGCAAAAAGGTTGTCCCATTTTCAAAGGGTCATTGTTCGGCTCGTGGGGGGGATAGAGCAGTGCGCGTGGTTGCTTTAGGTAGGTACCAGCATTCCATTTTCAGTCGTCATAATGAATCTGTCAGAAATATTTGGGATATCAATAAAAATAAAACTAAGAAAAAATCTTTTTATTTTTAGGAAATACATATTTCATCCATTTCATGTTTTAAAAATAATGTCTTTTAAATGACCGTCGTTATAGTCAATGCACATTTGAAGCCTATTACGACAGCTAGGCAATATTGCTCTGCGCGCCATGTCTTGCGGAATTGCGTTGATTTCTGGCCTTATTGCTGCCTTTAGATTTTCCAAATTTTGTGGACGATGTTTAAAAACTTGTTATTTTAGATACCCCCACAAAAAAATCGCAAGGGGTCAAATCAGGCGAACGTGGAGGCCACCCACTATGACCTCGTAAAGAGACAACTCTGCCCGGACATTTTATTTTAAAAAACCCTCACGTATTTAATGAACCTTTAAAAAATAGAAAGTTTTTCTTAGTTTGATTTTTATTGACATCCCAAATATTCTGACAAATTCATTATGACGACTGAAAATGGCATACACGTACCTACCTAAAGCGACCACGCGCACTGCTCTACCCCCCACGAGCAATGACCCTTTAAAAATGGGGCAACATTTTTTCCGCACCCTGTATATGTTAAAAGAGTTTTTTGTTTTGTGCTATACCGATTCTGTTTATTTTTATTGGATACTTGTTTATTTTTCTAATAATACATTTTTATATGCTACTTTTTATTCATGCTACGTATACCTATCGAAACCATACTCGTAATATATCAGGAATAACCAAAATACATTGTTTCGGGAATATTCCCATGAAATGTTTGATCAAAATCCAAAAATTTTCTAAAAATATTCAGAACGGCTTAAAACATGCTGCGCCCATTCTCCACAAATATTCCAGGTATACAGAGGACTGCATAAAAAACGGCCATTGCTGTAGCATCGTTATTCCTTATCCGATTTTCAAAATTAAAAAACCAGTTTAAATGATTCTATCATTTGACGGTTAAACATATTTTTTTTATTATGATGCTTGTGAGCACTGATAGTCAACTTTTATTTTTCAAATGACAACTATATTTTTTTATTATTTTTTCGCATTTCTTATGCTTCTCTGTGCATAAGGGTATATCAATATCATAATTTTAATTGTAAAACACGAAGAAAAAAATAAAACTGCGAAAATTTTTACATATCACATTATTCATTTTTAAAATAATTATGTTTCCAATCTTGTAAAACGGTTTGGTTATTTAGTTATTTACATTTCTTTTATGAACTGACGCCTGACGTACACAGAAAAAAAAGCCGTAACCATGGATACGCATATTATTAAATTGTAAGCATTTTGTGGGTGTCCTGATGCTACCGAGATATGTAAAAATTTTCGCAGTTTTATTTTTTTTCTTCGTGTTTTATAATTAAATTTATGATATTGATATACCTTTATGCTCAGAAAAGCATAAGAAATGCGAAAAAATAATAAAAAAATATAGTTGTCATTTGAAAAATAAAAGTTGACTATCAGTGCTCACAAGCATCATTATAAAAAAAAATATTTTTAACCGTCGAATCATAGAAGACATCATACCATCCAAACTGCTTTTTGAATTTTGAAAATCGGATAAGGATTAACGATTCTACAGCAATGGCCGTTTTTTATGCAGTCCTCTGTATGATTTTTGATTACCGCTTGAATATTCCTGATATTTCCTGAATATGCAAAGAATATTTCCGGTAACTTATAGGTAAATAATTTATAAACATTCCTGAAACATTCATGAGGGATATCATATCTGACGTATTCCCATTGGACTTTTCTAAAAATATTCCCAACTTCTTGTATTTTTATTCTGAGAATCTTTAAAGCAGGTTCCAATGTTCAAAGTTTATTCGGTGAATGTTGTAGGAATATATAATGTTCTTTGAATAATGACGAAATTTATGCGATCGAAGGGTCCGTTGGATGGTCGTTTTAGGAATGTTGGTAACAGTAGCTTATTTCCTGACGCTCAAAGTTGGATTAGCAACAACTTGTCATAAAACTTCTATCTTCTGTCATTCCTGACCGGAAGTTCACGTTTAGGTCCAAAGATTCGTTTTTTGTTCGCTACTGATCCTGTTTCTTGGAACTTCGCCAACATACCCAAAACAAATTTTCTATTCACATGCCTTTCCGTAATAATTTTAACCATTGGTGAAGATAAATTAATTTTGGATACTTAAAAAGACTGATAATTTTTTCTTAAATTTCCTTTTTTACTTGTTTTAACTTCAATTTTAAATATCTCGTAAATAAATTAATATAATTTTACTATTTAAATTAATCAAAAAATTAGTAGGAGAAAATGAAGCCATTTTTCATCAAATAAGACCAGAATCGAGAAAATTGGTTTTCAAGGAAAGAACAATTAAAAAAAAACTCAACCTCAACTTTAATGACTGTCAATTTAATGGCAATGGTTCCCCGACAAATTAAGGAAAAATGGATAGAAAAAGATTATGTTTTTAATCCTTTAAACCCATTTTATTTTTGATTTTTTTTTTGAATTTTTCTAATCAACAAATATGTAAAATAAATATTTAATAAAACACAGATATGAAAAGTCGTTTTAGTCATACCTGTAAATTACTGACTTGCCTTCTAATGTGAGCTAAACTGCTTGGATTGTAGGCCATGTTTGCGAACACCAGTCTTTCTTCATAATCGTATTCACATAAAATTTTGTTTTCGCATAAGTAGAATCTGTCTCCAACGCAAAACCTAAAACACCAAATATGCGCGTTTTATTTGTTAAATTATGAATACAGAGTGTATACGAACCTATGATTGCATTGTTGACAAGCAAAACATTCCAAATGATATACGTTATTTTTAGCCCGCATTACCATTTCAAAGGCCGGTATGACTTTGTTACAAGCCGCACAATATCCAGTGGTTCCAAATAACCTTAAAAAATATACGGAAAATAATTAATAATTTATAAATTGTTTCTTTAAAACTAATTTTAGTTAATTATGAAATAATACTTAAAAGAAATATTAACCAATTACTACCAAAATTATGTTTCATTATTTTAAGTACATTTTTTTATATAACAAGGATTTTTCAAAGATAAAGATCAAAATATTTTTTAAGAAACAATTTAAAAAACACGATAATTAAGGAAAAATTGTATAAAAGTGGTATTTTAAAACGCACACTTTATTAACATTGGCGAACTCAGGGGGAAATGGGGGAAATTCATCCCCCACAAGAGCTGTGCGAGAAAAAACGAATTAGAAAATTTTACCCTGAATATAAAAAAAAATCATATAATTAAAAAAATAACTGTCTTTATTTTCCCTAATTTTCCTTAATATCCCACCAAATTGTTTCTGGATCACCCCTGTTAATTAACATCATGTAAGTAAATTATAAAATAATATTTAATGGTTTTTTTATAATTTAATAATAAATTTAAATTTATTCAAAGCCTACAAACCTAATAAATATGAACATAATGTAACAGCTTTTATAAAATTATAATAGTTTTAAAATCGATATAACTCTCTTTAGTTATATGTATAAAACCTTTTTACACATGCATGTATAATTATGCAATGTAATAATTATGTTACCGTATCTAAAAAGTCAGCATTGTATAAAAAAATATTAATACTAATTCTTCTCTATTTCTAAACGTTGGGGGTTTAAAACCGCTTACTAAAAGTTTTAAAAAAATGTATACCTACTACTCAAAATTTACCCAACGAATATCGTAACTGTTAAAACAAAACCAATAAGCACTAAAATAAACAAGTAGGTATACCTACAAGTTGTAGGCTACAACCATCAATTAAGTACTGCGAACTTTAGAGACATATAAATTGAGAAAAAGTGAGGTTAAATCCGTTGACAGTTGACATATGTCAAATAAAATTGGCTTTAAATTCTTCTTTTTGTTCGTCGTAAATAAAGTATAGTATGCAACTCGTTTTATAAACTTCTCTAGACACTCGTTTTTATTAAGTACTCGCTCGCAAGCTTATAAAACTCGTCAAGTTATGTTTGTAATTTTAGCAAAAAAATCTGGGATTCGAACCCACGACCACTCGACTTGTAGTAAGCAGCACTGACTACTACACCGCCAAGGGCGGTTTGAAGTTTTTGGGTGCCCTGAACACGTAAAAAAATATTCCCGCTGTTGGAAACATTTTTTTAAATTTTTAACGACATGGTTTTCAATTTTTCTTTCAATTTAAAGTAGAAAAACTATGAGGCGCCATATGTTCCATAATTATTTCATTCGATATATAAAATGTTTTGCAGAAAAAATATATAAGTAAAATTTACTAAAATTTTGCTTATATACAGGGTGGTCCAGGTTATAGTAGCAATAATTCACCATTCGATAGTCCATCGAAAAATAAGTCGACATGCATGGTAATTTTTTTCTCCAAAACCCCTCCTAAGGGAGATACAGCCCTTCAAAGTTGAGTTTTAAAAATCTTTTTTTTTGTCATAACTCTCAGGAAATAAAAGCGTTTTTGACCAAATTTGGTACAAATACTTATGAAATAGGTACTTGTTACCTGACGTAAGTAACTTTTGTCAAAATTGTCCAGTGACGTAGATACAGGGGGGTTGTTTCACTTTTTCCACCCCATTTTTTACGCCACTGGATATTGGTTTAAATTGACCTATTTTTCTAATTCCTTGTTCAATTTTGAAAAAAAAAGCCACTCTTGTCAAATTTTGATTTAAGGCTTTGTTTACGAGATAATTAAGTTTAAAAAAAACATACAATACTGCGAAGTTCAGTTTTAAATATCTTTTTTTTGTCATAACTCTAACTCTAAAAGCGTTTTTTACCAACTTTGATACATGTAATTAGTAAATAGATACTCGTTACTTGACCCAAGTAACTTTTGTAAAAATTGTCCATTGGCGTAGATACAGGGGTTGTTTCACTTTTTCCGCTCAGGATTTCACTGATGTGATTGTGTCACCAATAGGTTGTGTACATTCTCAAAGACCTTGCGATGTGGCTGTCGTTTATTGGGAAAACGCCTTTGATATTCTTGAACTGCTTGCAACGCGTTCCCATCACAAAATACATAAATGAAGTGAATATATTATTCTTATCGTATCGTATCGTATTCTTGGTTCGTGAATCGAAAAGGCATATTTATGATTAAGGATACTTGTATTAACTCTAAAATATCTTAACAGACTGTAAAAAATAATAGAAAACCTTTATTATTACTCTGACAGCTATTTCAGTTGTTTAAGACTGACAGTTCATACTAGAGTGGGGCCGCCCTAATTTTATTAGATAAAGCGCATCAGGCCACTTGATAATTTTAAATAAAAATACGTCAAGTGTTGATTACCTATTTTAAATACCTATACCAAATTTAATCAAATATTCTTAAACGATATGAGAGTTATAACAAAAAGATAAATCTTAAAATTGAATTTTGAAGGGCTTTAGGGGATGTTTTGAAGAAAATAAAACAATGCATGTCGAGTTATTTTTCAGTGAAATCCTGGGCGGAAAAAGTGAAACAACCACTGTATGTACGCCAATGGACAATTTTGACAAAAGTTACTTGGGTCAAGTAACGAGTATCTACTTCATAAGTACTTGTATCAAAGTTGGTGAAAAACGCTTTTGCGATCTTAGAGTTAGAGTTATGACAAAAAAAATATATTTAAAACTGAACTTTGCAGGACTGTATGTTTTTTTTAAACTCAATTATCTCGTAAACAAAGCCTTAAATCAAAATTTGACAAGAGTGGCTTTTTTTTTCAAAATTGAACAAGGAATTAGAAAAATAGGTCAATTTAAACCAATATCCAGTGGCGTAAAAAATGGGGTGGAAAAAGTGAAACAACCCCCCTGTATCTACGTCACTGGACAATTTTGACAAAAGTTACTTACGTCAGGTAACAAGTACCTATTTCATAAGTACTTGTACCAAATTTGGTCAAAAACGCTTTTATTTCCTGAGAGTTATGACAAAAAAAAGATTTTTAAAACTCAACTTTGAAGGGCTGTATCTCCCTTAGGAGGGGTTTTGGAGAAAAAAATTACCATGCATGTCGACTTATTTTTCGATGGACTATCGAATGGTGAATTATTGCTACTATAACCTGGACCACCCTGTATATTTTAAAATATAAGTTTTATATAAGTTGATACGATTCAAAAAAATATATATATTGAATTTATCACCATCCAAGTTCGATATAAAAATTTTTTAGTTTGAAAAGTTCCTGAGCGATGGCGCTGCCTGTTCATGATGTTTGTTTGTGTAGGTATAATTAATTTAAATACCTACCTATCATTAATAATATCGATGAACCACTGTAATTACAGCCGTATTATTTACAAATTAACCGCCGTTAAAAAATACGTGTGCAAATGATGATTTTTTTCAATTCGAATTATTTAATAAAGTTTATTAATGCAACACACCATACACAAACAAAAATCATGAACAGATAGCGCCATCGCTCGGGGACTTTTTAAACTAAAAAAATTTTATATCGAACTTTGCATGGTGCTAAATTCAATATACAGCCTGTTTAGAATAAAACTTATAAACGAATAAACGACATGACGAAAGGTCGAGCAGGTAAGGACTTAAAAAATTAAATGATAATAATGCATTAAATCTCATTAGCGATGCAGTTATTTGCTTAGCTACTGTGTCGCGCGTTGGAGGGAGGCGAGGCCACGCCCCATATATATATATATATATAGATATATTCGGTTTTAGTATGAAAGAGCTGTATATAGTTTTTCAAATTTTATTAACTTATATAAAACTTATATTTTGAAATATATATGTATATGCAAAATTGTAGTAAATTTTACTTATATATTGTTTTTTCTGAAAAACATTTTATACATCAAATGAAATAATTATAGAACATATGGCGCCTCATAAAAAACGCTAACGTTTCTATTATAATATGTAATGATGTGCTGTTATAGTTTTATGTATAAAATTGTCCTATTTTAACCAAAAATTAATTACTAAAATATTACAATTTACAATAAATTGTACAAAGAATATACCTACTTACGTAATTACGATTCCTATTAAATCTGCTATAGCAGATTTAATAGGAATCGTAATTACGTAGCAATATATTGCCTTTTTTAGATATATGATTTATATCAGCAGATTTACTATGAAGCTTTGCAGAATAAATGACCGGTGTTATGTAAATCTGTTTAAACAAATCCAATTTAATTATTATAAATGTCGCCTAACTTGATTAAAATTAAATGGGAAATGCAAAAAACAATTAAAGAATCACCGAGAGAAATAAGAAAAAAGAGCCAGATAGGTATAAAGGGATATATCCTTGATTAAAAAAACGCAATCAGAGAATTAAATATTTATAAAGTCCTTGTCGGTCGAGTAATAGCAATTTTCGTAGTGTGGATCGCTATAAAATTTATAGGAATGGTATGGCCATAAAAATTACATTACAGCAAATTGAGTTCGAATGAAATCTCCGGCACCATCAAATTTATATTGAGTTTTAAGGCGCTTTTAATTAATTAATTGAGATGGTTTTGTACTAAAAGTTAAAGACACACGGTTAAAATTTAATAGTAGCCTCTGTTGTGCAAGGTTAATATATTAAGTTAGGTCCAAATAAACTGTATTGATTAGTTGGCCGTTTTTTATCTCCAAGCGTTATATAATTTAAGTTTTATTATAATAATACATTTTCAACGCCTACTACCAAAGTATTTAATTATCTTCTAGGCTGCATAAATAATTTAGACCAATCAGTGAAGTTTTTTACACCTTGTCTGTAAAAAACTCATTATAGGACCAATTAAAAAATTCGATAACTACTGACAACTCTGAAGCTATCTTACCTCAATTTATACTTTTAATTATTTTTATTATAATTGTAAGTACGTTTTATGTATCGTTTAACAAATAAAAATGTGCCTTAAAGATACAATGCTCTATGCCATTTGGCTGAGACGTGTCTTTTTGTACTTTGCTCAAACTTTGAGCTTAGAGCAAAAATACTCTCTTTTCAGCCTTATGACATAAAGAACTATATTTGTTTGACAAACTAAAATAGTGATATTTTATTTTTTAAAGGTTTTATTCGTCCACCATGCAAACTTAATTGTAATGTGCTACCCAGTTAGGATTTAGAATTTTATATAAGTCCGCATTTTTCCGCACGCGTCAGGCTCACTCATTTGATCAAAATACGCTGATTGTACAATCACGAATGCAATGTCATACCTATATGAAATTTTATATAAGCCCGGAACTAAGGATTTACGCAACTTTTAAAGTAAACGCACAAGTGCGGTTTTTTTGGTTGTAATAATATTCTATCTTATAAATTTACTTTTTTTTAAAACATACCTACTCTCAAAAAATGAATTAGTCGAAAATAGGTAGTTTTCAAAGTAAAAAAGCAATCACTATTAACTGTAGTCTAAAGGTAATTTTTATCGCGGACATTTAACAACCATGTGAAATTGTCCCCTGAAGAGATATAGTCAATTCCATATTATATGGAAAATTGACTACAACTCAAAAACTGTTTTACTTTAACTTTTGATAACTTTTTCGGATTCAGCGGACAATTTTACGGTAAAATTTTTACCTGGGAATTGACTGCTAAATGTCCGAGATGCAAATGGCTGCTGACGAGGATTATTGGTGGCTGCTTTTTTGCTATGACAATTAGTCATTTTTGACTAATTCATTTTTAGAAAGTACATTATAATTTTTTTGCTTTATGGGTACAATTTTGGATGGTAAGGGCCATTTTCCTATTCAATGTAACATATTTGGGAAGCGTCTATCTATATTAAAATATGTTATACCTGCTGATAAAATTGTTGCTATCCAGAATTTGGTACAATCCTCAGAATGATACTTTTCACGTCATAAATAGTTGAGTAAAGAATAGAAATAGGTCATTGTTGTTTAAAAATTGTCCAGAAAATATTAACGTCGTTTGTTATTGTTGTGGTCGTTATATTAATTATCTTTGGTTTTACCCTTAGGGTGATGCGAGCGATTAGTGAGAAATTGGTTTATATACTTAAAGCATATTTTGATAGACGAAATATTTTTCCATGGTACCAAATGCAGGAGTTGTTGTTCCGGCATTATGAACTGGATTATGATTTACCGAATTGCTATGCTTGTTACAAGTTTCGATGTTTTATCTACTTTTACTGCTGAGTCAACTTTACCAACCCATTTTAGTTACGCAAAATGAGTTAAATAAAACCGTTGTTAAATTAGAACTATCACAACGAAAGTCGAATATCCTTGCATCATTTCGAAATGAAAATGAATTTTGGCAAATGCTCAGCATATCGGTATCGTAAAGCAAAGTTTAAGAAATTTTGTATCGTCAATGGCGATTTAGTAGAAGTTGCGATGATTTGAGCGGGGGGTACATGAAGCATATGCGTTTCTAGTGCGATTGGCATACCCTCTGTATATACAGGTTAGTCCAGGTTTGAATCGACAAACTTTTAGTATGGATAGAGCTCCAAAAAAATAAGATGATTCAATCCAGGAGGCTTTTACCGAGGCTTTTACTATTAAGTAGGTATTTTAGAGAAAAAAAGAAATTATATATTTTGTTTTGCACTTTGTTATTTTAAGTTTAATAAATAAAAAGTAATGATTGTATTTACCTAAGATAATCCCTTTTACACAAAATTAGATTCGCCTTAGTATACAGGGTGGACCCAACTTCTCCTAACCTACAGTCACAGCATCCGCATTTCAGACAATCTTCGTGCCAAAACATGTCCAAGGCCTTTAATAAAAATCTATAACAAAAAAGTAAAAATATTTTTTGTTGCAATGTTTATAATTTCTTACCTCTCTGTGATTCTTTTTCCACAACCGGCGCACTCTCTGTTACCAGTGGTGGACGACGTATTCGAAGTGGTTGAAACTGGTACAGGTGTAGGTCCGCCCAAAGACAATGCCACCGCTGCCCTGCCATTTGAAGGATCTCCTCCAGAGTCTAAAATTAAAAACAATGTAATTAGTTAATGACCAAAAATAATTTAATTTTAAATCTAAACGTTTTTAAAAAAATTCTTTTAATTTTCACTTAATTACTCGCGCAAGGGTATTTTGTACATTACTGTCTCTATTCTTGCAAACCATGTAAAAAATTGCCTAGTAGGGTGTCGGTTATTTCCCAAATTGGCTTTTTAAAATTGGGTATCGTACTCTTTTACAATCTAAAAACAATTTTGCAAAAAATAAAAAGTAGTTTAACCCTGCCTAAATGATGATACTCTTTAAAATTTATAAATAAAAGAAAAAATGCAAAACTAATAAATTACGTTATTTTCGTAAAACCATCCATTTAAATGATATCTGAGGTTAAAGTTTCAAATAATTAAAAAAATATCAATGTTTTCTCTCTAAATTTTTCTAAATTTTTAGTCTAAAAACTAATATTTTTCCGATGTCGTTCATCCCTGCTTAAATTACAAAAATGTTTATAAAACATAGATAGGATTTTTACACTTTATAACCTCCAATTGGGTGTTTGTTATTTTCTAAGTTGGCTTTTTTAACTTGGGTATCATCAAAATTATTTGTGAAGTCTAAAAATAATTTTATTATTTTTTATTATTAATCAATTGTTTAATTAAATTTTTAAACATATTTTCGTAGGAAATTTAAGGCTCTACAAAAAATGACTAATTTGTTTAAGCGATTACTCTAACCATTTAAAAGATATTCAAGATCAAAGTTTGAAGAATTAATATATAATTTTGTAACTCATTGAAATATAATTATTGTTAAATGATTATGAAATATTTTTGTAGAAAACTCTACAAAAAAGGTTTAATGTGTTTAATTAAATAACCGTTAAAAAGATATTCGTATAGGAATATCAATGAGTACTGATTAAAAAAAAACATATTTCATTAGTTATCAATCCTTTAATCAAATATGTATACATATTTTTGTAAATCATTTAACGCTCTACAAAAAAGGTTTTATTTGTTTAATTGATTACTCTAACCGTCTAACCGAGAAGATATTCGTATCCGAATACACTGTAGGGAGGTGAAAATATCACAGCTAAACGCTTGGACACGTAAACTTAATTTTTGGTCGTAGATTACAAATCCATGCGTGGATAATTTAGGAAATTCAATTTTTTTTATTGAGTAAAATTGGGGATATTATATTTATTGAAATAAAAAGCTTAGGAATGTTGTCACAAGAGATAAAATATATTATTTTTCAAATTATAATATACCAGTACCTATACAGTGAAAATTTACATACAGTGATATCAATGCGCACTTATACGAATATCTTCTTAACGGTTACGGTAATCAATTAAACACATTTGACCTTTTTTGTAGAGCGTTAAATTTTTTACAAAAATATGTCATACTCATTTGACAATAATTATTTTTCAATAAAATACAAATTTATTAAATTTTAATACATTCTTCAAAATTTGATCTTGAATATCTTTTAAATGGTTAGAGTAATCGTTAAACACATCAGCCTTTTTTGTAGAGCATTCAATTTACTAGAAAAATATGACATATATAAAAATAGACCATATTTCATTATTAATCAATCGTTTAATTTAATCTTTATACATTGTATAAAGATTAAATTAAACGATTGATTAATAATGAAATATGGTCTTTTTTATAAGGGACTATAGAAAACATGGAAAACTGTGAATTTATATATTAAGAGCTCAAATTTGGTGATCACTTTAGGTGCCTAAGAGCAATTTTTTAGTGTCGGAAAAATTAGCCTATTAACATGAAATTTATAAATTGAAAAAAACACCCGTTCTTAAAATTAAAAAACTAAAAAACCTTATAACCAAAAATCCTTATAACTTATTGTTCCTGGAAATTTTAAAACAAAGTAAGTTATAACGATTTTTTATTATTGTAGGTTTTAATTTTTTTTCAAATTATTTAAATGTCATTTTAATATACTTCTTTCTAATAACGCAACTTTTCTAATTTAACCTACCTACCTTGTAGCTCTTTAAAGAAAAAAGATACCCAGATACCCTATATAACTGGATATTTTTGTGCGGTATAAAGTACACCGTGCGAGTAAAAATGTTTATTTTATTTTGGTTAAAATGGCGAATGCGCCGGGAATAATTTTGTTTGTAATTTTTATTATACATATGTATGTATACAGGGTGTTTCAGAATAAAATGCTGAACCTTAAGGGTGTGAATCCTTAGTTGATTTTAAGAAAAAAAGTTCAAATAAACCTATGACCTAAACCTCTTAATTTTTGAGTTACAGGGTGTTAAAGTTTTAAGAAAAAAATCGTTTTTTTATCATTACTTTAATAACTTCCTAGATATTTTTATAAAATTTGGCACACGCCTTTTAAGCATTAACAGTAAGTTTTTGATGTAGAAGATTTTTTATTTTTTTACCAGTGGCGTCCGTACAGGATGTGGTCTAGATATTTTTGGAAAAATATTATGCACGCCACTGCTATTTTTTAAAATAAAAATTATTTTTTAAATCCCCATTCATTTTAGGGCAAATTTGATTTCTTGACCATTTTTCGTACGACTAACGGTTTTCGATTAAAAAAATAAAAAGCATATATATACGTCCCCTAACCTATAATGATAAACGTCAATATTATGTACCTGAAAAAATTTCGCAAACTGAGGAATTTCAATGTAAGTACAGAATTATTAAACGATATGTCAAATTTTAATTTAGAAAATTTAATAGTCAATAATTGAACTTGCAAAAATAAGGGAAAAAGTTTTTATGGACTTGTATTTTTAAAATTTTTGTTTTCGAGATACCGGGTGTTAAAGTTAATAAAAAACTATAGTCGCGGCACTGCTTTTTTAAATTTAATATTAAATTTAGGTTAAGCAATTAGTTATGCAAATTTTTTGTCCTAGGCATTTTTTCTATATCTTAAATTAAAATCATTTATACTCTCGTGACCATAATTTAGCGAATAAACGAATAAAATTTTTGTCTAAAAATTTTAACAAGATAGAAAAGAATGCAGGAGACAAAAAAAATTGTATTTAAATTGCCTAATCAAAAATAATATAAAACCTAAAAAGCAGTAGCGTATCCAAATTTTATTTTTAAATATCTAGTTGGGACGCCCCAAAGCCGCCTCTGGATAAACTAAATTTAATTTAATTACATTAAATTAATCTGAGACACCCTGTATACTATAACAACACAGCAAAAATAGCTTATTAACTGCTCCGATCAGATCTGTATGATCGGATAGCGCCTCGGCAGAAAACACTGAGGGCTTTTCTCGCCTTTTTTTATTATCCAAAATTTATTTTGAATTTGAATTTAAAAAAAATTAAATTATATTTTTTATAAAAATATAAAAATCACTACCAACAAAAGATTAACATATTTTTAAAAAACAGTTTAATAGATTTATATACCATAACCCTTAAACATTAAATTATATGATTATAAAAAATATATACCTATCCTTAATTAAAAATGGTATTTGTTTTCCTATTTATTTATAAAACAATAATTTCAAATGTTTTATACGAAAACTTTTGATATTAAAACAATCAAAGCGTTAAACTACAATAATACATTGGAGAACTTGGATAGATTGATGAGATGAGCTTGCCAAAAACAATAGAAAAATCCTACCCCAGAGTCATATTAACAACTTTTTATATCGAACTTTTTAATTAACTTTATACCGAACAAACTACTTATTTGCCGAAATAATTAAACAATAAAAAAATAAAGGCTAAGATTTTAATCACTTAATAGAACGAAGGGGCTCGCTTCGTCCGATAGAACTCGCCAACCTGAGAAAATTAAATCGAGTAAATCTCTGTGTAGTTTCAGCTAAGCAAAGAAAGATCAAGAGTGAATTTAATTTTGTTTTAGTCGAGTTTATTTCGTTGTTTTCATGCTATTCCATTCTCATTCCTACGTTCAATATCACAAATAAGCAAAAAACATCAAGAAACCGTTGAAATTAGCTGTTACCAACTAATGACATATAATGACGTTTCTGAATGTAATTCTATTACCAACTGAGCAATAAAAAAAGTAATCAAGTTAATTTTTTGCGAACCCTTTTAGACCGAAAATATTTTCTGTTATTTTGGTCTTAAGATTTTTTCGGTAATGGGCCTGTAGTGCGCGCGCCAACTTTTATCCCTTTTTAAGAGCGTCTTCTTGTCCCCAATTAATCAAATCCTTTTTACTCCTGACGTTTCATTAGGCTTCCTTATTTCGTATCCCGCGCCATTTAATTAACATTAGAGACTTTAAATTTTTAAGGATTAAATTAAATTTTGAGAGAAAACTCAAACCTTGACGGAATAAAGAAAATGTTTAAAAACAGTGTTTTAAGCAAAATTAAGTTTGCTTAAAATATACATAAAATCTAGTATTACCACTACTTTGACTAAATTAAAGAATAATTTTAGTATAAGAACAAAATATGTTTTTTAACCCCAATACCTATTTAAAAGTTTACACGAGTACACAAGTTTGTACTGACCTTTTGATTTTACCGGCAGTAAACTAGATTTAACTTAAAACATTTCGGGTGGAGACTTCACCGTGGAGTGCCCATAAAACATTATCTTAACTTTGACTGTGGTTGTTAGTTCATAAACTTCGATTTATACATACAAATTTCCTGAGTAAGAAATTGTTACGCGAGTTACTCTATTTTTTTTTAAAGATGTCGCTTTATACAAATATTTTATTTAAATCAATTTTAGTATTTGTAAGAATTGTATGAAACTCGTTTATAAACTTTTTGGACACTCATTTAATTAAGCAATCGCTCGCCAGCTCGCTCTGTCTAAATTAAATTCGTGACTAAAATGGCGTTTATCAAACTTGATACATAATATACTATTTTGGGCCCGCTGAATCCGAATCCGGGGTTGGTGTGACTTATCATGATTTTACCAGCCGAGAGTGTATAAATATAAATAATAAGTCATATCTTGCACCATCTTTAAGGGTTTTTAGGAAAATTAAAAAAAATAATTAAAAAAGGTAGCCTTAGAAAATTTTGCATACGAGCCCCGTCCCATATTAGTCCAAGAGTCTTTTTGTGCTAAGCTTAAAGTTTAAGCAATGTATCTTTAATCCACAATTCTATTTTTTTAAACGATAAACATGAACCGTACAATTATTATAAGTGGAGAGTGGGGTTAGATCGTTCTGACAGAAGTCAAATTTTTTTATTGGTCCAAAGTGGTAAATAATAAATTTTTACGGCCTAGGCCATATATAGCCATCATACAATTTTAATTATATATAGATTTAAAATAAAATAATGTACATATATATTCTAATCGAAACGCAATCTACAATACAGAAGTTTACGATAAAGTTTAAATTATAAACCGATTTGAGATTTAAGATGTATTTTTGAATCGAAAAGTAATCTACAAAACATATTTTTTATTACTAACAGTCAGTTAGCAATTTACTTAAAAAAACCAAATTTATTTTGTTGTTTCTTTCTAGCAGAAATTAACATACCGCTATAAGTTAGACAAATCAGATTTAGTAATTTAGCAGTCAAGAAAGTTACCATAGTAACAAATGAACTTGACAGTTAAATCTAAAATATTTTTAATTTAAAAATCTATTATAAAATTATAAAACCGTTAATAGTTAAAAAAATAGTACTTATTAGTTTTTTAATTTCATTAATAATCAGATTAAAAGTAAAAAAATATCTTGGTATGTGTACAATTAGGAATATCATAAGATTACACAAAACAACCAACTCCCTCGCCCAAAAAAGAAAAACTGGGAGAAAATTTGTAATTCCTCACAACATTAAATTCACTGGGCCAACGGGTTGAAGTTAGCTAACAGGTTTTTAGTCACGGGCTGAAGTTACCCCAGTAGCACAAAATATTGGTCCTATATGGGGCGCGTCTATGCCCAATATTTTATCTGGGGCCAATGTTGGATTTATTTTGCCGATGTTAGCATTATATTGGCATAAAATGATAATTTAATATATCTTGCTAATGTTTATCCAAGGTTGGTCCTATATTGGTATATTATTTTACGCCAATATATCATTAACTTTAGTCAACGATAAAAGTGGTATGTAACGACACACGTTTGTTTCCAGGATATGTCTATACTAGTTGCGCAGGAACGGTTTTAAGTTGGGGGTGGCGCAACCGACTACCATCCTTATTGTTTAGCATCAAATGGGTGAAAATAATAAAGGCCATTCTTGCATATTACCGTAAGAATAACAATGGTTATATGCGATTTCTTGTCTTATTAGCAATAAAATTCGTTATTACGTTAATAAAGCTCAAGTTAATCATTTTAGCACACGATTCAAACGATTTTAGCATTTCATGGGAATTAAGAATATCATAGACGGTACACGACTTAGATTTTTTCAAAGAATTTGGAGGGTACATTTTATATCAAGTAACTCCCCTCACCCCCATACCATTTGGGTGGGCATTGTCAACCGCCCCCCCCCCCGCTTCTACGCCCCTAAGTACCTACTATAAACATTTCCTGAAAACAAACGTTTGTCGACACGATCGTGACATATTACTTTTAGAAATTCTACTACCGTTGAGTGAAGTCAATGCTACTACGTAGTAAGTACTAGGTGGCTATCTTTCTCCCTCAACTTTCCTAGAATATAATGTAAAACAACTTCGGGCCAATGCGAAGTTCCAATATCGGCTATATAATGCTAAAGACTTGGGGCCAATGTTGAGTTTCAATATTTGACCATGCTAGAAAAAAATCTTACGAAAGATATATTGGCCCAATATTATTACAAATATTGGGCCAATATCTTTGTGCTAAAAGTACTCGAGTACTGAATACAAGTACTCTTATATAAAAGTACTCGAGTACCAAGTACAAGTACAGTACCGTTGTACTCGAGTACCCATACGAGTACAAAGTACCGAGTACACTTTAATTATGAAATGTTGGGAAAAATGCTAGAGAAATGCTAGAGAAATGGGGCGATTAAGAAATGAATTTAGAATCACTAGTGCAAAACTAAACACTAGCCGGCCTATTGTCTTCATCAAATATTGATATATCGCTTTATGTTAATTATCAAGGCCGGCTAGTATCATGTTTCACTTTGCCTTAGCTTTATTTTTTAATTATCTTTTTGAGAAATATTGTCACCTTATTTCTACCAAAATATAAACAAAATTACATTTCATACATAAGTAAAAACCTTTTGTTCAATGCTCTTTCCTGTTTCTTTTTATTTATTGATTGAGGCTGTTTTAAGGCTGTCGTGTGAGGCAAGCTAGCTGATGCTGCCTCAGGCAGCATGTCCGTAATTTGACAAGTCTGAGCAATGTTGCCGAAACACCCACGCACATATTTGCACATATGTCTCCACGCCAACCTCACTGCATAAAAATGTACTCATTGCATACTTTGGATGTACTCGAGGACACGTAAAAGTACTCGAGTACACGGGAAAGTACTCGAGTACACGGGAAAGTACTCGAGTACACGGGAAAGTACTCGAGTACACGGGAAAGTACTCGAGTACACGGGAAAGTACTCGAGTACACGGGAAAGTACTCGAGTACACGGGAAAGTACTCGAGTACACGGGAAAGTACTCGAGTACACGGGAAAGTACTCGAGTACATTTTTGCAATCTTAAATGTATCAAGTACAAGTATAAGTACATTCAAATTAAAGTACTCGGGACTGAGTACCGAGTACACTGAAAGTACTTGGAGTACAGTATTTGAGTACTTGTACTCAAGTACCGCACAGCTCTGGCTACTGGGGTAGTTTTAAGTTATTTGACTGTTTTCAAATGTCATACAATCGTTAAAATAAAGTGCCCTTCTTGTGAAATAATAATGTGAAAAGTATTTTATTATCTCAATACAAAAATAAAAAGTATAAAATAGTTTTTTAACGCCAAAACCTATTGAAAAGTTTATATGCACATTTGTACTGTCCTTTTTAAAATGAAAAATTTGGGAGGAGTATCCATAAAAACATCCACATGAATTTCACTGTAAAAAACTGACTATAGCAGATTATATTGGATTTAAACAGATAAATTTCGATTTCTACAGAATAATTTGACAAACTAACACTGACAGCCGGAAACACATTCTTTACACTAATTTTGGCTATTTACAGATGCCACTATATAAGTATTTAAATTAATTATTAATAATTTATTTTTTTATAAAAATACTTGTCGTAGAAAAAGTAAAATACCTATTCAACTGGTTTGTACAGTTTTCACGACACTCATTTTTATTAACCACTCGCTCGTGCCTAATTAAAATTCGTGACTAAAATGCACTAGTAAAAATACGAGTACCTACGCATGCCGCTGTGTTCTAAATAAAATAACTACAACTATGCAAAACAAATATTTTGTTTCATATTGAGTTTGTAATTAATATATAGATATATTTATTATTAACTATCACATTTAAGAAACATAATATTATACATATTAATAGAGATTTAATCCAAGTGGAAAAACCATAGATTTAATTATTTACCCTTTATAAATGCGTAATAAATTATGTTTTTAATTAACTAAAAGTGTAGCATTATTGCCCTCGAAGTTGTTATTAGATCTGCAGTTATAATTTGGCGTGCATTTTACTATTTACTATTTAATTAAAACTATTTTAATTAGCGCTAAGAAACGTGCCGGTGCAGCCAATCTAGGATTCGAAATTTATTTCGGTTAATTTTGAAAATCCCATAATGTGTCTTAATATTGAAAGTCGTAAATTTTTAGCAGCACAAAAGTAATTCTGCTTATTGGCTAAAAATGTTGCGAATCATTTAAATCATTTGTGCGTCAAAGTTTGGTAGGTTGTATACAGGCCCGTTCCTGGGGTGTCTGGCGCATTCTTTGGTTCGCCTCTTTTATATTTAAATATAATACATTAAATATTTTAAGGCCTAAAATTTAAAAAATATATATTTTGCGACAAACTGGCAATATGTTATTGAAAATGTCTAAAAAAATTCTGAAATTAAGCATAAAATATATTTATTAAATTAACAAACAATTTGTTTGAAACAAACAAAATTACAAAAAATACAACAGGTTTTTAGTGACGAACTCTCTAAAAATGACTAGTTTTCAAAGTGAAAAAGCAGTCACCAATAACTGTAGTCCACAGCAATTTGTATCCGGACATTTAACAGCTTAATATTATGTAAAACTGTCCTCTGAATCCTAAATACTGAGAAGACCGTAAAAAATTATGAACGTAGAGCAGTTTTTGAGATATAGTCCATTCCATGTTACATGGAAAATTTACTAAATCTGAAAAACTGTTTTACCATTGGTTAATCACTCAACGGTTCTATTTTTATAACTTTTGACTACATTTTCAGATTCAGCGGACAATTTTACACAAGAGTTGACTGCTAATTGTCCAGGATACAAGTTTCTGTTGACGATAATTATTACTGGCTGCTTTTCGCTATGGTAATTAATCATTTTTGACTAATTCATTTTTAGAAAGTAAGCTCATTACAAAATCAAACACTTTGCTACCGTCAACTGCAACTATCAAAGAAATACTAAAAATATTATGACATTTTCTCTCCTTTTATTTTGATACTAATTTAAAAAAAAAATTAGGCCGCCAATAACAAAGCGGCAAAAGACGCTTTATAGCGGCCGAAAAAAAGAGTGGCCTTAAATACCGCCTTTCTTCGCGTCGCGACGCGAAGAAAGGCGGTAACCTTTATCATATGTATGTTTAAGTAGGTAGGTACCTATGTGTTTATCTGCAAAAAAGTTTATCGAGTACTGATTGACTCTTTGATTTTGCGCTCCTAAAATGTTGCGCCTGCGTGCTTGCACGCACTGCACGCTCGCCAGGAACGGCCCTGATTGTATAAACAATGAAATTTTTAATAAATAATTACTTTAAAATATATAGAAATTAAAAAATGGTTTTGATGTCACATTTTTTTTCTTCATATATTTTTTTAAGCTAATAATAACTTTTACCATTAGCCACGAGTAGCGAAAATTTGTTGTTTTGGAATCATGATTTTTTAATAAAAAATATCATTTTCTAGTAAGTTCGTGCTTAACTGTTACTATTCTGGCTTTTCTACTTTTCAAGGCGTTTTTGGTATTTGTAATTTCGTGTATTCTACTCGCTGTAAATTCTATTAAATTTGTTATAGATTTTAATAAGTTTTTTACACTTTTTATAGTTTTAAGTTGGTAATAAAACCAACAAAATATTCTCAAAATATGTCCGCGTTTTTGACAAGTTATAATAATTATTTCTATGAAACTATTGCAAGAGTTTAATATCATGCTTTATACAGGTGTAATAAAAATGAATCTTAACCTTAAATCTAAAAATTATTATTAATAATTACTCTACATAATTGTTATTAATGCCTACTCTTTGTTTTTGTTGTTAGTTTTGTGTCAAATTTTCCTATATTTTTTTAGTAATTTTAAGTTTTTACGTTGACGCTACGAAATCACCACATGCGTGGAAGGCACATTTATAATATTTGTATATTTTTCAGTTGGTTTTGTAATAACTACTTTTTA